TAGTGCATGGCTTATGAGATATTATTTTCTTTTTTTGACAGTGGTTTTGACAAAACCTTAACAATATATGTTGCAACTAATACTTTTCCAGTTCAATATTCGCTTCTTTTTTTTTACAAAAGATCCCTTGGTGGATCAGCGGTAAAATTAGGGACTTATAACACTAATATCCGGGATTCGATTCCCCAAGGTGGACAGAACGCAGATAGCTCATTTTGTAGCTTTGTGCTAAAAAATCCAAAGCAAGCATAGCTTCAAAAGATCTCGTACATTTGATAAATCGTTACTTGATTTTGAAATTAGTATAATTCGAAAAACAGTTGGTGAAAAGGTTTAATCACAATAACGTAAATTGATTTCGTAGATCATATGGTTGGATAGATTGTTCCTGTTTTTCAAATTTTTATTTAATGCGCAGAATTGTGATAAGTACAATTTGTTGATTTCTGTAATTGACATAAGTTTAGTGTTCTACCTTTACATTAATACTGACATATGTGGTAATTTATAAGCACTGTTGATGTTTCACTGCCTTACTCTAACTTTATACACATTCTGTTGAAACGGTAAACTTTCGGATAAGAGGTAAAACAACTGGAAGTATCAAAATCTATCGCATTATTGTTTACGAGTGTAAACAAAAATCGTCGTTTTGGCTTATCATCCATGTGGCCTTCCGCTATGTAAAACGGAGGACTGTGATAGAATTTTACTCATACAATGGAGGAGTTTCAGGATGTTTTCGGTATAAACATATGAAGTTAATAAGGCGTATCTAAATACTCGCAGTCGTTTAGTTCCGTTTGTTTTATTGCTACTTTCAGCGTTACTTTTGTCCTAAAAAAATAGGCGTTGTGTGTCATATATTATACATTTAAATAGGCGTTCTCTCTCTCTCAGATATTAACCACCTACAGGGTGGTCCAGAAGTTAGTTCTACAGTTAAGACTTCTTTGTGGACAGCATTTAGTTTGCAGCACCTGAGTTGGTAGTTGTCAGTCTGTGGGATATGCTTATGTACGCTATATACTGAAGCAGCTGAAAATTAAACATAATTATAATACTACATGCTTTGGCGGTAACTTTTGGATCACCTTGTACAATTAACAAAACCGTTCAACTCTGTTATTGTGTGATCGCCTTTTCCTGGCTGGCGAAGCCTGATTATAATTAATTATAGTTGTCGTACGACATCAGCATTAAGTCTATTATATTTTTTAACACTGCATTTATTATTTAGACACTTCGTCAGCTTGGAAAAGGCGTTCACATCATATCAATTATTGTTATAACAATTGACTTACATAGCGTTTTTACCACTACTGTATTTGTTGTGTTGCACTCGGTTTGGTGAGCTTTGAATTGAGCGAAACGCGTCGTCGACAGCGGATATGGCGAACATAGTGTAATTGGAATACTACTATTATACATTCTTCTAATTCTTTAAAAATCACTAAATGGCTAGATAAATAATGCAGTGTTAAAAATATAATAGTCTTCACATTTATGTCGTATGACAATTATAATCAATTATGTTTAACTCTGTGCTTTTTGTTTTAGATAAATTTAGTGAACTCCCTTCTTAATATCGCTCTATTCTTTAAAAAATCACAATTTTAACCGCATCAGTAACTTTTCGTCAATTAATTTACGTGTCACGTCCTTGCAATTCGTGCTGATAATGTTTGATACCACGATGTTGAATTATATTTTTGTTAATATAAATGTATATATTCCCTATATATATAACAATAACTTCTTTCGTACATTAATTATGTTCGTACACAGTTTACACCCATTTCCTTTAATGTGCATTTTTTTATAAGGTGGGTGGGATATTCAGTTTTATATAATGTTTATTCACGATCTCTGAAATATACTAAGTTCTGAAAGAAAACCAGTAGTGTACATTGTTTATTTTAAAATGTTGCGATTTCTTGGATTTTTTCGCAAACTGAAAAAATATATTTATTATTCTGTCTGAATGAACATTGTGTATTTTAGCAGTTACTCCAGTACCCTTTCACGATTGGTTTGGTTTGTGTGGAAGTTCACGCAAAGCTAAAACAGACTTATTTACGCTAGCCGTCTCTAATTTGCCAGTGTAAGACTAGAGGGAAGGCAGTTATTCATCACCACCCACCGCCAATTCTTGGGCTATTCTTATGCCAACGAAAAGTGGAATTGATCGTATTTTTATAACGCTCCCACGGATGAAAAGGCTAGCATGTTTAGTGGGACGGGGATTCGAACACGCGACCCTCAGATTGATTATTTCTTGTTTAAAAGCTGGATCTATAACTTAAGTGGGAAAGTTGTATATTTTATTAGCAAACAATATGAAAACATTTTATTCAAATTTGCTAGTTTTACCAATGAGTTAGAAATAGAAGTATATAATTAATAGAATGAAAATGTTATAGTGCTTCTGATGATCTCATTTTTCCTATATTTTATAGACTTTAAACCATTAGCTTTCCAAAGTTTGCATCTTTTATATTTAATTGTGCTGTCTTTACTCGATTATTATTATTATCATTAGTTCTCTGATAGTTTGTTGGTCGTGTATTTAAACAGTGTTGTGCAATTTATTTTTTATTGATGACGTTACAGTTTTATTGAAATTGGCCTTGTTGTAACTAGACATATCTTCATGATTCAGTCATGTTATGAACCTTATAAAACTGTTTATTAGACGAGAGTTTGAACCTGCCGTGACTAGTACATATAAGTTTGTTTCAATTAAGTCTGAGAGATAGTAGCTTCTAAGTTGCGTCGTATAAAGAAAATATGAGAAACACTTATAATGTATAAGTCTAGAAATAGGATTCTTCGACTTGATTTTGTCACCATTATGAAATAATTCGTATTACACACACATCTTCTATTTTCCTTCATGACACCCTTCAGTATCATTAATTTACTCACTAGATGACGCCACGCAAAACCTGTATTTTTTTTCATAAACTTGCATATTAAAACAAAAAACGAAGTTAAGACTAGTATATATACACTGAGTGGTCACAAGTAAATAGACACCTAATTTTTCGTCATTTAACTGATTTATGCTAACTAATTTCTGTTCACAGAGCACTATATAAATGAAAATGGTCCGCACACTAATTATCTTGTGCTACAACTTGCCTAGAACTCAAGGTTCTCTCGAATTGTCAGATTTTGTTAGAGGAAAGATAGTTGGTCAAGCAGATGGTGGAATAAGTCAGCGGCAAACTTCGCAGAATTTTGGAATCCCGCTTTCGACAGTCAACATACTCATCGTGCAGTTCAGAAACACGGCAAGGAAACAACTGAGCAGCGTCCGGGTCGTCCTGGTCCATCGGAGAGGACAAAAAGGGCTGTCAAGAGCAGCAAAAGGTGGTAAAGATGTGGGACGTTGTGGGCT